TATGTGTATATATATATGTGTATATGTATATATGTATATATATGTATATATATGTATATATATATATGTTAGGTGCAGGCTTTCTGTGATGCAAAATGTAACATCATAACTTGAAACTGACCAATGGCCTTGGACACTCTTTGTTACCATGTGACCAGTAAAAGCCTGATCAAAGCAGCTGCTAAGCAGGCAGTGTTATTTCTTTTATTTTCACTCGTCCTGTAGTTACACATTTCCTGTGTACTCACTGCTCTCTCCAGCTTCTTAACTATTTTCTATTTAGTAGTCAAGACATTCCTCCAGATATTGATGTAATCCAACAAGCAGCCAGATTTATTTGTTTTTAATTATGGAGTTTTTTTTGGTAAAGTTCATAGAGTTCGTCAGATTCCAGTGGTCTCACAAAGCCTTTAGCAACGGATTCATTATGCTTGTACAGTAGGGTAACTGTTAATATACCAAAGACATGCATTGTATTCTATGCATCTTACTTTTAACCTGTTAATTATGATGCTGTTTGATTTGCTGTGAATTGTCATTCCACCTTTTTGCCCCCACAGTTTGCACTCGTTAATTTGCCTAATCACTTGAATTCTTCAGTATCTCTCATTTAGCTCTAGAGGCTGTATGGGTTTGGAGCTCTATGGTGTCAGAAAAGTTTAATTTGTGCCTCCAAAAAGTTCCATTGACTACTAAAGTACCCAAGCAAAAGCAGTCAAAAGTGGAAAATGTATGTTTATTGTGAATATTTTGGAGAATTAAATCGTAAGCTATATTTTATTTACTTATGAGTCGGTTTAGACTGTATAAACTAATTATATTGAATGCAATATGGATTTCACTTGGAATGGATAAAATGTTTTGTCAGCTTGAATGTAAAAGTGGCATAATTAATATAGTTTTATTCTAATGTGAATCTAATCACAGTTAGGTTAGTCTAATGCCTGCATTGTGTTAGTTTCTTCACTTGGATCCACTGACAAAGCTCCACTCCTCTGATTTTAACTTAATAGACAAAATTCAATTCACAACAGTGAATCATAACTTAACAACACCTGTGTCCAAGTACTTTTAAAGTGTCAAAATAATGTGTCTAATAGATGATTACAGTGGAAGGAGGAGACAGGAGAGCTGATATTCTGTGTGGAGATTTCCATGATGTAAATATTTTAATGCTATTTACGCACAAATGTTTGAAATCGGAGTTGGAATGTTTTGTTGTCGAGTGCCATCTCCAGAACAGAATGCTTGGAGGTTTGACCATGCAAATATGAAATGATTGTGATAATGCTGCTACAGTATGTAACACTGGAGCGGAAATAAACATGCAAGTGACAAACGCTGTGTTTTTCTTTTGTTTCTGAACTAAATTAATATTTGTTATAATGCTGATAACAAGAGTTTTATGGGGGAGTGTATGGGGCTTTAATTTGAAATTACCCCCATTCCAGTGCAGCTGTGTCATATTTTTACCTTATAAGGAAGATTAGGCAACACTATCTAACTGCTGTTGAGATACATTTTTGTATTACAAAGAAATAACAGTTGGGATCAGTGCTATCAGTTTTAAAAGCCTTAAGAGCAGTGCACACAACACAATTTTAAAGGTAAAATAATAAGGAATATTTGAGTCACAGCCCCATTAATCCACAGAATACACTATTAAAGAGGTTAGATGCATACTTGTATTTGTGTGGTCTATTGTAAACACATATTTAAAGAACACATTTCTTTCCTCCTACTGGCTATTGCTGCATCACCTATTCACCCTCTATCTGACACACTCACATTTTCCTTAAGGACCCCCCTCTTCAGAAATCCAGTCTACTCGGACTGGTTGCTCTTCCTGAGCCGGCACTGCCCACCATGTAGATTCACTAGATTTCAGTAGGCAGGACAGGACTGTCACCAAGCCCAGTGGTTCCCAACCTGTTTCCTTAAGGGACTGTTTTTCTATCATTGAGTAAACAAGTGACCCCTGACTAAGTGACATATTTAATGGACATTTGAGATTAGATTCAATGGTATAAAAATTACAGTACAGAACAACTGATAAACTGTACAATGAAGTGAGTTTGTGAAACGAGTGATTTAGATGAATTTCCTGTGAATATTGCGTCAGAGTTGAGTTTTCCTGATATTTTAAAATGTTCAGATGTATGTAGTATGTTCACAAATACTTAACAGCCTTCTTTCTTTGATAAATTCCCTATTTTCTTTTCCCTGATGCTTGGCCATTGTTCTGTTTGCTCTTTGGTTGTTCTAACTGCGTACTTTTCTAATGCAGAGAGGAAAGGCTCTGTGAATATACCCCGTGTTCATGTCTTTCAAGTTTAAATCTTAAATAATAATCTAAAATTAAAATAACAATAACAATTTCATTTACTTTTCTTCACATAATTAAATGCAGAGATATAGGCCTGCGGTGTATATTTTATTTTATTATTTTTTAGTTTTTACACAACTTAAAATCATAAAAGCCTTGTGACCCCCCCATGAAGCCTTTGCAAACCAATAGTGGGGGTCCCGACTCCCAGGTTGGGAACCACTGACCTAACCTATAGGTGGTGCCTATGTGAAACTAGTTCAGATGGAAATTGTTCACACTAAGACATGAGGGTTATCCAGTTACAGTACTGATACACATACCTATATAAAGATTTTTGTGATTTTTCAGTGCTTGAGCAAAAAGCCAAAATCCATTCAGTTAAGTTGAGGCAGACATCACAGAGACCAATGTCTCAAAACCAGAACCACCTACATAGCTTAAAACCAGTGGTATTAGTAGTAGGAGAAAATATATCTATTTGAAATTAGTGTGGAGCAACCCTTTAAAGAATGTATCCTGCAGGATTTAAACAGTTCCAATAGAGGGCGGTATAGTCTCATTTAAAGGTTGTTATCACAGACATATGGCATCAATCCTCAAAGGCAGAGCTGACAGTGTTTGGATCCACCATCCAACACTCTGTTGGGTCTCTGCAGATCATTTTAGAAGGAGTATGGGATAGACTATCAATAAACAAATCAATGACATTAATTCTGATTCTCTGTATTCATCTCTGTGATCATTGAATTATTAAATGTCTCACGTGGATTCCCCTCAAGTTTCCCTTATATACTGTCAACTATGCATTTATACTGTGAACAAAATAACAAAAACAACTTACTTTACAGCAACACCCCAGACTGCCCTTCAAAAGTTATTAAAGAACTCAATCAGCTCTCAGTGTTTGAAAAGGCTGTTGAAAATCCTGCTTTTATTTTATTCTATATGGACATGAATACATTTAGACCGCAAATGCTCCTCCTCAGGTAAAGGTGAGTGTGTGAGCACTGTGTATATATGGTGGAGGGGTCTCTCAATATATAGATATTGGTGATATTTAAAAATGAAATATTCATGCTTTGTTAATAATACACATGCTATTATGTAAATAATCCAACGCCTTCTTAAATCCAATCTTTCAATTTTTAGTGGTTCACACAGTAGGTGGTGGTGATTGCCAGTGTTACAGGTGAGTGATTCATTATTCAAAAAAGAGACCGAACACAATAAAAGTTAAAGATTAATCTTACTGACAGCATTAATCTTTTTATCTTATATTTGAATAATATTATCGGGAATTCTTCTGGCCATGATAGTCATGCAGTGACAGTCTGATATTGTGACAGTCATAATACAGTGTTGTATGTGTTTGATTATAAATAACATCCCTGGAAAGTGATCTCAGTTCTTTTCACATTTAAAATGCTTCTTGACACAAGTGTGCACCCAATCCAAGTTAGTGTAGAGTAGGGGAACATTGTTTCCCTCGTGCTTCTTCACAAACCTGCTGAGGTTCAGTCAGGTTTCATGATGGGGAACAGGAATGAACAACCACAAATTCTCTGCTAACTGGTGGACAAAAAGCTCTCATCAGACTTTCAAGCTTCCTCCAGCTGATTTGTGTGTCTCCTGCGAGCCCTCTGACAAACTATAGCTGAGATCTGAGATGTTTTAACTTCTGTCTCCACCAGTCTTCCATAAATTGAGGATGGAGCTCCATATTCAGATTAGAAACTGTATGACTTTGCACAGACTGATGATGTAGTTCTCATACACACAGGTGTTTCTCCGGTCTCCTTGTCAGGGTTGGATGTGATAAAACTCGCAGACTGGTATAATTCTGTGGAAGGATGCTGTGTGCAAACCCTTCACATGTGCATTTAAACTTTGTTCCTCATGTTTCATCCCATATATAAATGCCCACTTTATTCGCCGGTTGCCAAAGGCCTTCCATGTCTCTGGGTCTTCCCTGCATTGATCCGTTATATCCTGATGTGTGGGACCCCACCGGCTCCTGAGGCTTTAAAAAGAGACGTACTGTTTGAGATAGACTACAATGACTGTGATCCACAGCCCACATCTGGATATTCACAATGATCCTTTCTTTTAAGCTAATCTAAAAAACTTAGACTGAGACTAAATCTAATGGGTTGTACATTCAGTTATAAAACAGCACAGTGGAACTCTTCCACCAGTGACTGATACAGGATGTGATCTCAGCTGATCCACACCTCCTGATGTGACCTGATGAGGACAAACAGGTTTTCATTTATTTGATTTATTTATTAAAAAAAGTTTGAAAGTTAAAGCAGGCAGTCTGGACTGGTTTCATGCAGAGTGTTCGATGCTATTGATTAGTATCATTGCAGTTTTTATGGTTATTACAACCTTCACTTATTATTAAATGGCATGTCACGTGGTTTTGTCCCCTGTCTGTCCGCGGGTGTCGTCCGTTTAACGCCACACTACCGATATAGTCATCACACTGCGTGCACGTGGCGGGAGCGCGCACTATAATTCAACTCTTAAAGAAATGAACGAGCCGACACGCGCCCCTTTATCGGG